ATAGCACCAACAAATGACTATTTGTAAAAAGAGTGGGACATTTTTATCCTGTCATAATTATCTTAACGCATGGTGAGTTGGAGAAGATGTGAACATGAGAACAAGGGAGAAAAACCAAGTGGCACCCTAGAAGAGAAAACCAATGTGAAAAGACATCACAAAAGCATGAAAGATGCCACAAAAGCATGAAGACCGCGATTCTGACTGGCCACCTATGAGAGGTGCCGCCCTAGAGAGAGAGGATCAACAGTCAAACAAATTTACACTTACAAATGTCACATGTAATTAGTTGTGTCCAAATATTTTAGTTTGTATGTAATTCAAAGCTTCCTTCAACTAGTCCTCAAACTTTATTTCTACCTTATATGTTCCATTACTCCTATTTGACTTGCTTTCCCCAATTAATATAGTACAATCTTAGTTTTACGATCTGAGCTTAAAATTGTTCTACCCATTTTTAGGTACCAGTTATGCTCTTCTTGACACTTTCTTTGCCCATTATAGCTTATAAAAATATTCTTTTCTAAATTTATAGCATTTGTTTTTTGAGTTTTGCCATATATTTACTCACTATTGGGTTGCCTTTGGGTATCTGTTACAGCACTGTTTGTGTTAGTTTTTACTTTTCTGCCAGTTAGGTTGTAAGTTTGTTGAAGGCAGGGATACTTCCTCAATAGTAGGAACTTAATTAATTGTTTATTTAATCAACAAATCCATTAAACACACATTTATTGAGCTACTACTGTGTGTTAGGTATTACTTTGGGCATTAGAGATATAGTAATGATAATTAGCTCTCAGAAAGTTCATGTTCTAGTGTGAGGAGACAGAATTAAAGAAATAGAGAAATAAATATATAGTATACAATATTTCTGGTGGTGATAAATTGAGGAAAAATAAAGCAGGTGAAGGGGATAGATAAAATGGGAGTAGGAGATACCTTTTACATAAGGTAGTTTGAGAAAGTTTCTTTTATGCTGAATTTTTAGATGAGACCTAAAGAAAGTAAGGGAGTTCTGTTTTGGCCATTTCATGTTTTAGGTAAGCTAGAAAGCAAACAATTATCAACTGAGTGTGGAAACATTTTACCAAGTATGATTCATTAGCCAAATCAAAATGGTATAATTAAGAAAGGCAAGAATATTTGGGATCAAAAGTACATCTGAAAATATACCATTGACAAGTTCAACAAACTCAAGATGGATTTTAATTTTGGTTGGTTGATTGAAGATTCATCAGATGTCAGAATTCTTTTACATGGATACTGATTAGAGTAAAAACATCTCCTGTGGTGAGAACAAGTGTGTAGAGTACTTCGGGCATTTCAAAAAATATATCTTTGGAACAAAAGGATCACTGTTGGCATTAAGAAGGTAGAGTTTATTCCTAGGTATTTTATTCTTTTTATCACAATTGCAAAAGGAATTTTTTTTCATTTCTTTTTCTGAAATTTAATCCTAGGTATTTTATTCTTTTTATCACAATTGCAAATTTTTTTTCATTTCTTTTTCTGAAATTTGTTAGACATGGAAACAATCAAAGTGCCCTTCGATAGATGATTAGATAAAGAAGTTGTACATACATACAATGGAAATTACTCAGCCATAAGAAAAGATGAAATACTGCCATTTGCTACAACATGAATGAATCTTGAGATTATCATGCGAAGTGAAATAAGTCAGACAGGAAAAGTTGA